TTTGAAAACCCCAGGCTGAGTTTAAAATAAACCTTTTGAATATTTTTTTTTCGGTTCAAGCTTACATTCGTCAATTGCTCTTTTTGTCTTCAACAATCTACATAGATGCATATCGGTGTAGGCAACTGAAAGCTTATCCTCTATCCCAAACAAATGGAATCGTATGTACACCCGTTGACCATTTCAATTGGAATCAGGTTGTGGGCGCCTTTGGATAATGTCCCCCGACAATTCGACCAGATGTTCACCTGTGATCTTCACATGTTGTGTTTATTGAAATACAAACAAACCCCAATGGTTGAGTACAATATCGAGTATTCAAACCACGCCACATAAATCTATTTGCAGTCAAAATATGTATGGGCAGGTCTAAGAACTATAGGCGCATTGAAATTTTGAAAAAAATCAATACAACTTATCTAATACCACAAACTATATAATATTTTGTCCATTTTCATCACTCCCGATCAATTATTATAACTTAGGTACTCAATGTATAAAAATAAATCGGGACGGTTGAAAAAAAATGGTTGATAACATACGTAGGTAATTATTGGCTACCATAATAAATATTGTGACACCATGTCTTATCTGTAATGGAGAATGTAAACATTACGAAGGCATCGAGTTGTATAATAATTTGCTGTCGTCGTGTCGTTGTTGTTAAGAATTATTTTTATTTTTCGTAAAATTATTGCACTCGAACACAATAATTGCCCGTTGACAACTGTCGACCCTGGCCCGTTTCTCCAGTGACACACTACTACAAAATGTACGAATATTGTAATTCATATTATTACCTATTATTATTATGTAGTCAAATAATAAATTACACTGCGTTCTTCGACTTTGATAAATATTTCAAGTAAACACATATCCATGTACTCGATTGTGCTTCAAGTCATCATATTATGATAAAGTATAATGTGCCGGACAATCGAATCTGTTTGCACGAGAAAACCAGGGTATAAATATTTTCTGTTTGTCCAGTGACACTCTGATTCATTATGTACGAATATTATAATTCATTGTGCTATTATTATTAATATTATTATTATTATTATTATTATTATTATTATGCAGCCTAATAATAAATTGCCCTGTGTTCTTCTTCTCCGCACTGTTGTTCCGGTGAAGATTACAAGTGAACTATATTATATTATTATATATTACTCGATTGCGTTTTAAGTCGACACAACGTAATTATATTATGACGTAGGTACATGCGATTTTGTTCGCCCGAGAAAACCGGAGTGCAAATATTTTTAAATATAATATAAATAATAACGGACCTTGAAGACTTAAAGCTTAAGGCGTATTTTTCACGTATTCTTATTACGCTGCAAATATCGACACGTGATAATATAATTTGTTTCGGTTCTAGATCCTCTATAGTGTTATATTATTCTGTTATATTATTGTGTTGACACATCCTGCACTACGATCGAACGATATTTAGTAAGTGTGACATTTATTTAAGGAGCAACATTTAGGAATTTCATGATCTCGTGGTCACCACCCGGGATCTATGTATTAGTCAACAATAACTGCGAAAGTGGCGGACGAAAAATAAACAGTCGAAACTATGAAAACACGATTTTGTACCTCTCCATTCTATAGATTTTTTCACAATTATTATTTGCACTTAGCTTTCTTTTGTGTACCTATCGTTTATTTTTTGTTCTACTGACCTTAGATGAATTATAAATGACTTTGATGTGCAGTCAAGATTCTAATAACATATTATGTTTTTGTAGGTACCTATGTACTTATTTGGGCTTACAGATCAATTAATTATAATACAATTTATGCCTATCATTAAATCAAAATAGTACAGTGGATTGGTTGTTAATTGCATTTTCCTAGACACTTTAAAACAGGCGGAGCCGATTAAATAATTAAACATGTGTTTATAGAATTACAGCATCCTCGGTGGCTGGCTATGGTAACTACTATAACTAGACACTGAGTAGATACAATTATAGTATTAAATTAGTTTGTAAACTCAATTGCACATTCGGACTATCTAGTTAGCATTTTTCACTAAAATAATTAATAATATTTGTACCCACCGTTAATTTGCTCATGTAAGGATATAGTTTTAGTAGTAACTTATAAATTATTTTTGTAATTTTATAATTTTAAAAGTATTTAATAATACCGGATCTTCAATCCCTATACATACTTTCTTAAAGAAAAACCATATTTATTCATTAATTAAAGAAAAATAAAATGTTGAAAATCGAGTTCTTTAACGTATTTTCAATTTTATAATTACACTGCCACTATGTTTCATTAACATTCTACATCTTGACACTAAAGAAAAAACTTAGCGTAATAAGTTATTAATAATAACTAATAACTAATAACTACTAATAAATATAACTAATAATGTATAAACATATATATCTGAGAAATACCAACAATTTACTTAAACGTAAATTGTGAACAATGGTAAAATATTTCACAACACAATATTTTAAATAATATAAGCTCTTATAGTGTTACGAAATATGTATTTGAAAACTCAAATTACTTCGTTATGTCTCGATATTTTTTTATATTGAGAAATAACAAAACTAAAATTGTACTTAAATAGTTAATTTAAATCATAATATTTTATACACACGCAGATAGTAATCTGAATACCACATCAACTGAATAAATAATATTTTTTTGTACATATTTCAAGCATTTTGATAACAATTGTGGATGGAGTGGATGGACAAACCTAAATGATCTATATATTTTTATGCTACCCAAATCTGATACAGATATTTCCTACAGTCGTGGACGAAGTAATGAAAACCACTCGAGTTGTGGAAGGCGTGAACTATATATTCGGTCGCATGTGAAATGCTCAAATGCGTACTTACACAAATAGTTTCCTTTATTGTTTTTTCAGACTTCAGCACTTCTCGACTAAGCAACCAATCGCAGTACTTAAAATGCACTAAATTGTTAGGGATAGTTAAAAATATCACTGTATTACGAGACATTCATTCATAATTCTCAGTGGGCAAGTAATTAATGACTGCTGAAAAAAATAGTACTACCATATTTTAAATAATAATAAGTAAATAAAAGTTTGTGACAGAATTAATGCTAGGTAAAAAAACCTGAATAAATTCATATCTATGATAATTTCCCCACTCAGATAATATTGTTGATAAGATAAACGATAATATTTTTAACACAGCATAATATTGACTTCACGTATACTATAGGTATACCCCTTTGCAAAGTTTAATTGGCAATTATTATTTTTTATCCCATGTTTGCAACCATAGCACGAAGTCTCGGATAACATTATGAGTTTGAAAATCAGGGGTGTCATTTAGGGGAATCGGCGTATACTTTTCCATGTCTTTTTTATTCACATATTTGGCCTGCATCACAATTATAATATATAATTGCTCTGGCATTTTAAAATATTATTTTTACAATATAACTGAGACTGTTTTCTTGTATAGTGTGAGGGGGGGGGGCACTATCATAATACATTATTTCTATGTCAAAATTATAAAACCTACAAATCACCCATTTTTTTACATTTATTGTAAAAGATAAACCATAAATGATATACCACATAGTCGTTACGCTTAATAATTGTTCTGATAATTAGTCACCTTACAGCTGCGTCAAGCACATATTCCTGAAACATTGTTTCTTCCTGCGTCCTACTATATACTAAGGACCATCGGGGCTCCACCAAATGGTGTGAGCCATCCCATTTATAATTCAGCAATACTTTGTAAATTGGCCTGTCCATAATGTTAACTAATAGGTTTACCTGGATATTGGAGTGGTATTGAAGTGTATATGCGGCTGAGCCGTAGTAAGGAATTACCAACTAGAGGCAACAACGATGTTTGATATAAAATTAATTTAAATGATAAAAAATACCTTTTCTTTTTGGATTGTGACTCAGGAAATGCTGATATTACAGTGAAACCTCACTTATATTGCAGCTGATGAGGTTCCGCATCTAAATAGTGAATATTTTCAAGTTTTTTTTTTTTTGTAACAATTCATTTACACATTTTTACAAACTAAACGATCTGAACTTCTCCGGATGACAGAAAAGTAAACAACATTTCAGGGACCGAGAGTGTATATGGTATTTAAAGGTTTCAAGGTATCAAAATATTATCGATGGTGGAGGACTGGTTAGGTAAGGCTGGATCACTTTCGATGTTAAATGCGGATACTGGCTAAGACATTTATGCTTAAGCCAACAATAATATTATTATGTAATATAATATGTATAATAAATTATGGTAACAAATTGTAAAACATAAAAGTGTAAAAAGTGGGAAAGTAGGTAACCGAGTAGGATTCGCATGTACCTCGATATTGAGAAGGAACTGTAATGGATGTTACATTTTAATTAAACGATAAATCATTGTACCTATACAATGAAATCTGAGTGTAGATGCCTAACCTTTTAAATTAATTATTTTAATAATAATATGACAATTTCAACAATTAATGGTCTAATTTTTTTTAGTTTCTCCTGATTATTTTTAAAAGTACTTATAATTTTCACATGTGACTTTCCTAAAATACTTACTAGATCTAATTTGCTAAAAGCTACCTCTACCCAAGTTTACGATTAGACCTTTTTTTCTACTAGAAAAAGTATCCAAAATAAAAATAGAATAAAAATACACACCGTTGTAAAATCAATACATTCATCACTAAAAATACAATATTTACTTTAGGAATTAAATGAATGGGAGATATAGATACCAGAGGATTTAAACAATGACAATCACCACAAAAAAATAAACCACTTCTTCAAAATCAGTCGCTCGGGGTCACAGACCCCCCATCGTTGCTTCAATAAATACGGGCCCGGTATCCGCGTACCTATTGTGTATAACAGACAATGGAATTATATTATCAACATAAAAATGATATGAGTGTCTAGAAACCAAAGGTAAAGTAAATTGTAATTTACAAAAACTTCAGTATACTTCAGAAACATAACAGTGTAGTTTAAATCAAATACAATATGTAATTTAATATATTTCGTAATAGTCTAAAGTTTTACTACAACACATAAATAAATAACACAAAATAAAAATTATCTGACATGTTTTGAAATCACCGAAGACTTGAACATAATAATAGTAATATAATATTATTAAGTCGGGACGAACAAAATAATACACTCACTCGCCTTCTGCACATCGTGTCGAACCCACAGCTTATATTTGTGTATCGAAACAACGTGTCCGGGTGGCATGTTTCCCCGAAATCGTTAATGCGAAACGTAATATCATCCACTAGAGCGCCAGTCTAGCCAGTCTATCAGCCACAATATTATATACATCACCCCCTACCCCCTCGGCTCACGCCAAATCCCCGAGTCATCGATACCTATCTCTCAAAAACACCGAATTCCAGAAACTTCGGCACTGGCGATGCTTTCCATGTTATGGACTGAGGTTTTAATATTGTTATATAGTACTTATTTTTTCGATACACGACCATAGACCTATAAGCCCACAAACCATTAGACCTCTGATGAAATCGATTCGTTGGCCATACACCACCGATACTGTCGTCGTCTGCGAAAACAATATTAATAATATTATGATGAGGGATTGGTCAATAGTTCCTCGAACAGTTAGTATTTCGTTGGAAATTATTAATGCTCAGAATTCAATATTTACTTCAAACTCGGAAATATCAGAGGAAGGATTTTCGAGGAAAATCAAGTGCTCTAACGATACTATTGTTATAAATATCATTGCCGTAGAATACTGTATTTTTATTCATAGTACTTGTTAGTTTACGCGATTTTATAATTGTGTTGTTATCAGGTTAAAGATTGAAAGTTAAAAATGTTCAAAAAGTTTGTGTTTGATTCCGAACAGTTCGTGACAAAAAATCAAAGTTCGAATGCGAGTTCGTGGAACATTAAATTTGACTCATCCCTAATTTTACGAAGTGTTATGGTAATCATATTATTCCAGTCGGAACTGCGCGGCCCGGCGAAGATCGATAGCCGACAACCCCCCCTCCCCTCCCCCAAGCACAACCCGTTATAGACCGCGGAAAATAGAGAGCTGTCGCGCTCACAATCAAAATCCGTTTTCGCTCTCCCTCCCCCTCATATCATGCGACTCGGCCCGAACAATAATATTAGTTATAGTTGGGTAAGTAATGGGAGCTATCTGCAGTGTTTCGGACACCATATTATAGCGATGACTGCAGCAACAAGTGTGTGCCAACTGCGCGGCGGTGATGTCTTTCGGTCGCTGTCGTCTCCGGCTCAAAGAAAACACATATATATATATATTTTTTTTAAATTGTAATTTTATGAAACAGAAGTGAAATGCGGCGGTTGTGATCGAGCTCGGTCGGCGGCGGCCCGGGGACGATTACGCGCCCGTCGAGTTGGACAGCAGACCGTTGGCGCTCAGCATGGCCTTGCGCCGGTTGGCCCGCAGCTCCAGGTGCTTGAGTCCTGCGACGGCCGACTGGAAGCCCGCGTTGTAGTCCAACGTCACCTCGTTGTAGATGTACTCCTCCCGCAGGTCCTTGTAGTTGTCGTTCTCGTCGGGTCCGCTGACCAGCGCGCCGTACAGCACCTGTGGATTGGGCTTGGTGCTCCGGTACGCTTCCCAGTCGCAAGGAGCCGGTCGGTCCAGGCAGGAGCTGTGAACCGACGATAAAAAATGCTCATGTTAATACCGTAATAGCGTAATATCGCGTAGGTAGATGACGTGCTGTTTGACACTTTTTCGGTTTAAAATTTAGTTTATAGCGCAAGGGCTACGTTCAAATCGATGACGACTAAATACCGTTCATAAATATTTATTTTATTTTTTTACTTCAGTATTTATGCACAGAACAATATTATTATAGATTATAAACGCGTTCGCGAAAATTATTCCACGATAGTTTCCCTTAGTATAATATGATAAAGAAAAATTATTTAATGAAAATGAACAGCCCGGGCAATGGCAACCACACATACGTACGACTGTAGAAATTGGTATTTATCCGATTTTAAGGCGCAAACGTTTCCTGTACTTCTATTATACGCATTATAACGGACGTAAATAAATTGTTAACTCGGCAAGAAGAGTACATTCTTATCACAAACTTTAACAAACAAAACTTTAATGTCACATTATTCTCATTTGTTTACCAACTTAAATCATCAAAAATAAAATGCTAAATAATAATATCATACACAACTGACAACTGATACGAGTTACGACAGGTAAACTGGCAAATAGTATTAATAGCTGCATACATATTTTTTAATGAGATCCTCAACAATTACTCATATTTTATGTCCATTTCATATTACCTCGCTGCGTGATGTGGTTGTAGTGGGTAGTTTTTACCGAATCCTACTACATAGCTCTGTCCTCCGTCTCCCAGTATGTAGTTTATCTGTTCTTTGGCAAATTCTCGGTATTGCGTTGACATTATACCAATATCAGCAGCCTACGTAATAGAAATACGAAAAAAAATGAATACCAAACATATATAAATATATTATATAGAGCGATATTAATTCTTTTCATCCTAGAAAGAGTGTATCATACCTGCAAGCACAAGAAAACGATGTTCGCTGCGTGACACAGTGTGCCGGATTTTTCAATGTACAACAGTCCTTTTGGTGTTTTCTTCTGTACGTATAAATTGTAGTTACAGAAATTTTGAATTGCTTCAGTGTACTCAGATTGATTAGTTAACTCGGCTAGAAGTGCCTGGAATAAATTGTATAAAATTAGACTTATTTAGTCATCGGTAATTGAGTATTATCAATATATCATATTATTATTGATATTATTTATGTGCTGCGGGGATTCGATACTGACGGTTTCTTTAGACCAATTATACTCAATCACTGTTTGGAATTTCGATTTTTGCGTCCCCTTAAATGTAATTTTATAACGTTACGTTATTAAAGTAACAATTAAAGGATTTTTCAATGTTGATTATATACGGAATCGAAAAAAAATGAAAATAAAAAAGTAAGATGTTTGAACTTTTTTCTTGACCATTGTTTTGTCATATTGAAGAAACTTATTAATATGTCACTATCAAATACCATGATATTGTAATATATCCGGGAAGCTATGAAAATATTCTAAGGAGGCTCATCACCACCAATTACACAAATAGTTACATCCATCATGTTTACGATTATAGGATCAACGATCGTTGTTTCTTTTTCTCTCGTAAAATTTAATAATATTTTAAAACGTATCGATCAATCTACGGCACGAAAATTGCGTGTCGTATAACATGCAATATTTTAAAATACATTATTATACGGCCGTGTGAATTTCGCACCTGTACGCCAGCGACTTTTTTGTTGTAGTAAAATTCGTTAGGCCGTTCTTTGAGTCTGTACTTCATGTACATGTATTCTGCGTCGTCCAAATACTGTGATTCCTTTGTGGCTTTGTATAGCCAAGCTGCGGCCCACGTCAGTTCATCACCATAATCTGTCGATCTGGTAAAAAACAACAGAATTTCACGTTTGAGTTGGTATATCACATCCGATCGAATAATATAAACCGAGAACGTGTAATAAATTATTTACTCGTAGTATTGGGCAGCCCCTTTGATGGCGTCGTGGTACAGCCCTCTGTACTGAGTGGCGAATAAGTACAGTTGCTTAGCGTGACTCAGGCAACTGGCCGAAAAATTGGAATCGATTTTGGTGAACACTATCGATACGGCGGAGAGAGCGGCGGACGTCTCACCGGCCAAATCGGAACCTATAGATAATTGGGTAAGTCGCAATGGATATCAACCACGAAAAATTATATTATATAGACTATATATATTATAGAGTATAATACAGGAGTCACCAAATGGTGACCCTCGGACAAATTCTAACACACGTTCGGTGTCTATACCTGGTCGATTTTTGTCGATTTTGTACGACGGCCTAGACATGTTCATGTCTTCTGGTCGACCCCAGAAACCTTGGTCCAGGCTGAAGTCACCCACCTGTCCGTAGAACTCGTAGTCGCTAACGTGACACTTAATAAAGTACTCTGCGGCCCAGCGTATCGAGCCTAATGCGTTTTCCCATTCGTCTAATTATATGAAATTAAAAAATTAAAAATTAAAAAAAAACTGTTAATAATAAAGTTTTAAGAAGTTATTTGTTTGGTTCTAATGTTATAGACTATAGTATTTCATTAAAGTAGTCGTGAAAATTGATGTATTATGATTCGACACGTAAAATGTCTGAATAATATCCTCAATGGAAGGTCCTATGTAGTTTGTGCACAAATATACTATGAAGGTAGTATATTATGTGGGAATACAAAAACATTATACTTACTAACTTCCTCGTATGCGTCTTTATAACTCAAGTATCCCCATGCCAAAATAGTTGTAGTGCTTGCCATTGTGAAGCCAAATTTCACAAAATCGCCAGCTAAAAAAATAATAGTTGAATAATATATTAGTTTGTTTTCGTTCATTATTCATATGAAATATAATACATTTCGAAACAAATATTTAGCCGTTTGCGATTAAGATTTCTTCCTAATAAAGGTATACTGTTCATAAATAATACTAACTCTAATTAATTGGTGGATGAGCACTACATAATACCTATGCAATTATTATTTTAAGTTAACAATATCTATAATCATTATTATTGTAATTATTAATAATTATAAATTATAATAAACGAGTAGAGGCGCCAGGATTATACATTGAGGAGGGAGGGATAACATCTTACTTAATATGTTCACACTTCACAGTATACAGAAAGTTTTTTTTAAATTTCCCTCAACATTAGGAGATTCGGCCAGCGAGGCCAATCTAATCTATATATATAAGAATCTAACTTGATTTTGGAGACGAAGGAAACCGGTTTTGAACCCTCATTATAATAATAATAATAATTAACTAATTACCAATTATTTTAATATATCCACCGATAACTGTGTCTGTTTTTTTTTTTCTTTTTTTTATTTTATAATCGTTGTATTATTTGTATAACCAAAAAATAGTTTTATGTTTTTAAATTAAATTATAAAAAAATAATTTCTTCCGGAGAAAACATATGTTTTAGAACATCTTATATCCCCGTTGTGTTCGTTAGTCTGCCCGTCCGCCCGTTAGCTACCAGTGCATAGTTATGACTGTTGATGTAATATACTAATATATTGTTGATTTTCATTTATTTATAATCTGTAGATACTGACGATACTGTACATACATAGTGTATGGAATTATAATTTATTGCACCGTATTAAAATACATTTATAGCATCCAGGAATTTAGAACGGTCACAGAGTGATCTTTCCTAATATGTTTTTTTTTATTATTATTTATTAGTATACTATAATTTTAAAATCGAAGATTACTAAAGTGAAAAAAAAATAAAAGTTTTTACATTTAGTTGGTTAATTATCTATCAGTTATTTATGTTACACCCTGTATATTATAAATATAGGTAGCTATACAATAAACATTATATTCGTGGAATGGTGGTACGCATCTTCTAATAGAAATGTTAATTCATCGAGTAAATTCAATAAACGCACACGGAGGGAATCACCAGCCACTATTAGCGACAATCGAATACCAATATATCGTGAAATATTTCGACGTGCCTCATGTTCATTTTAGTCTATGGATATAATAATATTTTATAAACGATGCATTAGAAAAAGATGCAAAATGTGCAGCAGTAGCTGTAGATTATTCCTGTAACTGCGGTATACCTACTACCTACTATATTATCATGCTATTATCTGCATATCGTCTTAAAATAGTGCAAATACTCATGAAAAAAATAAGAGTAAATTATTATTATTGTGTATCACATTAAATCACAAAGAAAATTACTTAACAATATTTATAAGGTATTATATTCACACGTACAAACTACAATATAACTTCAATAGTTTAGATACCTTAAATGTTGCGTCTTTTATCCATTGTTAAATCTTCAAAGCTTAATTATTTGAATACGAACAATTAATTCAATAAGTAATAGCTAGACCTCATCATTGATATTTAAATTGGATTTACAGAAAAAAAATTATTGCACTGAGTTAGATAAATCAACAATTTAATCGGATATATAAAATTATGGTAAGGACGGTTAAGTACTACGACGCAAGTGCATATTTCACGTGCCTAAACCGTTGTTTTATAAAATTAATTGTACTGTGTATGCTGCCTGCCTGCCTTTAATAATATGTGTTTAATGTTAAACAATGGCGTTAATTAATTAGTATAAATTATAGAATATTATTATTATTATTAAATGAATATATTAATTATTAATAAATGTGTTTATATTGTGTTCTATATGTGTTGATATTCTCCACCTCATTCATCTGTATAATATATATTATTATTTATAATGAAGTATGTCGGTAAAAAATTAGATTGAAAACATTTTGATGAAATAATAATTGAATTGTGTAAAAAGCGAACGTCTTCTCCGTAAACAACACGATGTCATGAACGCATCCTCAATAATAACGCAAGAATATAATAACACGATTGCAAATAAAAAACAATAATTATTATTATTATTATTGTGCATTCTGATGTTTTATACTCCTATAATAGCGATTATATTTTACTGATCAAGTCCTTGACATTCTTCCTGGTCAAAGATTTCTCATGCGAATATGCGATTTTCATATTTCTATAAGAACGAATGAAATGCTAGAGTTATCTCACGTTTACTACGGTAAGAATATACACCATAATTTAATCATTAAAATGCCAATGTTCAATGAAAATTTGCATATGAAATATTATGTTTACTTCAATAATGTCCCAAAGCAAAACTTGGGCGAAACTGCGGTGTATTAACAATAACAGCATACAAATAATATGCACTTTCATTCAATATCTAACTCGGGCTATGGTTGGTGGATACGACCTACGAGACGTTATTATGATATAATAAGGCCGTAAACCCGAAGGGTCTATGGGGGATTTTTTTTTTGAAGTCTAAATTCTTTACCGTTAATATAATAATATATTATTGTGATTATGACGTTTTCGTTTGAAATCAAAAAAAATGTTAGACCCTCCACCCGAAAATGTTTTTTAATTACGGCATTGCGATACCTCATACCTATTAATTCACCTGCACCGTGTCGATATTTTAACATATTAGTATTTTAACAATAAATTGTGGTTTATCAAACGGAATTGCGTCGTGTCGCAATCTGCAATAATTGAAATAAATGGTTATTCGTATAGCGTTATTTAGATATAGCATTCATTTGTTTTTTAATATTTAGTACGTTTCGCTGTGATCGTCATACTGTAGTTGTAAATTTACCGTCATAATATCCTCCGGACAGGTCTTCACCGTTTTGCCCTTTGTCTGTGGTCGCAGAGTCGCCCCGCCACGGGATGCGGTTGTTGGCAGGCAGATGACCCGACCTCTGGGCTTCGTAGAACATGAGTGACAACCGCAATACCTCATCGTAATCGTAACACCTCGCTACACCGGCTAAGAGGAACGATGCCAAAATAACGCGATTCATCTGTAGAACATGATTTGATATGAATAATAATGCTGAACAATCATGGGTAAGTTACTGTCAAATAAGTTATGGCTAAAATAAAAAGGAACACAATGTTATATAGATATCTGTAGACCTATAATAGACCTTCTGCAGTATCGTTAAAGTTGTAAAACAAATGCCATTTGTTTAATCTCATTTAATAAATAGTTTTGTAATTGCAAGCGATTTTAATTTTAATTTTAATTATATGCTAATAAAAAAACCCGTGCCTTTGTATATTTAATAGTATTAATAACTATACAACAACATCACAGCTTATCAGGAACCGTGTATTCAATTTTTAAGCTTTTTAACCAAGGTTACCAAAAAAATATTTTTTGTTAAATAATATTAAAATTTAAAAAATGTTCGTATTTTTATCCTCGATTATTATAAAAAGTAAATACTCAACGTTTTCGATCATAACCAACTAAAGGTATTAACCAGATAGAGTTTGCTACCAAAAACCTGTATCGAAGTTGATAATTTGAGTATATTTTCTACTATGGAAACAGTAGGTTGTAAAATTACTACGTTCAGAGTTTTTTCATGTATTGTAATTTTTAGAAGAAAATTAATTTTACCCTTAGGTACTTATACTAAATGTCAAAAAACATTTCTGAATTAATTATTTTAAGGCCTTTCCAAATGACTTTGTTTAGCACTATAACTAACAAAAGCAAAAAGCAAAAAGTATCAACATAAGAATTCCTGAATTCCACAAACACTCATACACTTTGGTGTAAAAAATTATATTCCATTTGTTGTATAAATTTTATGTAAAATTCTTGAAATGAATAAACTTGATTTTCATAATTTAAGACATTTTAAGCTATATTTAATTTAATATATAATTAATAATAATTTAATATTTTTTTTCTTAAATGATGTTGAAATTGTATAAACTAATCTAAAAACCCTCTATCACAAGTTTCAGCTACTCAGAGGGTTACAAATATTTACGAACTAGTATTATCATAATTATATCTTTTTATTACTATTCATTTATTGTAATATTTACCTACATGTTGAAATGTATAGTCTATGTACAAAAAAGAAAAATTAAGATATAAACATTACGATTATTATTATGGCTTTCACTCTTATTTACTTAATCCAATATTTGGTTAGAATGAGATAAAGAATAAAAATATTATATAATACAGAATAATACATTCCAATGACATAGGAAATATCAATTTCTGGTTAAATTCGACGATTGTTCAAGTCACTACTAAATTTAATTTAATTTAAAAATTAAAACATATTTATGTCACACTATAGAAATTATCGTAAGTGTCACGGACCTCTGTGATTCTCGTGAAATAGTATTTGTTGTTAGACGCATGCCAGTGAGTACCACCTACATGACCGATACAGAATTTTTCTTAAAGATCACCAAACTAATGATTCACGGAACGTTATTGAACCTAACGCAATGATTAATGTACGAGTGTCTTAATTACAAATATATCAGGTAAACGTAAAACAAATACGAAAACGTTCGGAGCGCGCAGTGATTAATTATCGTTTAATATTTTTTTTCTCATTCGTGTCCCTCGCTGGCACTCGATGGTCGATAGCTACAATGGTCACAAACAAAAATCGTACATGGCCCGTTGACCGAAACTATACGTTTTCCTAGTAAAGTGTTAATCACCTACACGGTAAGAAAATAAGAGACACATCAATAAAACCCAATAGGATTAATTATTGCGATGGAATGTTACTACCATAAAATGTGACATAACGACTAACAATCATGATTCATGATGATTTACAACACTTTTGCTTCCATGTCTCGAACTCTCGAGTAAAATAATAATATAACATTGTATTTTGTCAACGCCGTACAACTACAACTTACACGCAGTGTTTTGCACTGAAATATTGTGTTGAATACGAACAAAATTAACGAACACCATATTATGATTATGACGTTCTAAACGTTTTAGGGGAATTTGCCTCCCCCCTTAATCCGAGATCGCCTTAATATTTAAGAGGATGTGAGAACTCGGTACACTATTTGGTTTCTCTCTCTGACCCACTCGCGACACAGCGAATTTTCGTTATGTATAAATAATCAGCACGATACATATATAGTTAATTTACTCGAAATAATCTCGCTTTAAAATTAAAACATCAATAAAAGCTTGTGCCATTTAACTTGTATACCTACTAATTTGAATACTCATATGTTAATATTCACTATTATATTAAAGTAAACCATATATACAACATAGACTCTGCTGAACGAAAATTTGCTACTTGCTGTGCGTGGGTCGGAGAGAGAGAAAACATTTTGGTGCACTGACATCCTCTTGATACTATTTATAGTTCCAATATATTTTTCATCTTAAGTTGCATACCAGTATAATACCATCTATGACCTTTCCGTGTAACCCCGACGGTAAACCTCTGTTTCATACAATAAGTACGCATTTACAAATGTCATTGACTCCATCGTTGATACGAAAACAACAAAAGTGAATCTAAAATTAATTATTTGCGATACAGCAAAAGTATATTCGAGAAATATTAAATAGATATCTGTACGTAATAATAGTGCGCACGTTTTTAAATTTAAAAATAAATCGTAATACGTACATACCGAAGCTGATATAAGCACGTAGGTTTAATTAATAATAAGTTATATAATATATGCTTATAACATTACTGCATAAACTAACGAGGATTCAGAAAATGTGCTACTTCAAAATTAAATCAACATATTAAGACACATTTTATGTAGTGAAATTTTATAATATGCATAATTAAGTAATTTTTCGGATGGGACTTTATATAGGTATAGCTACTCGTATATCTGAAAGAATATAATAATATTACTATAAGTAAAATTTAAAAAAAATTAGAAAGATTTTCTTTTAATTGTATTCGACATTTTAATTCACCTACAGACATTTTCACACATATAATTGAATAATAATTACTCGATCGTTAGCTAAGTATAATATTGTAGCCTAGTTTTTTAAAGTTTTTAAAGTTTTTTAAAAATGATTTATGTCTGTGAAATTGGCCTCCAACTTTGTCTGATTGGTTCGAAAACTTCAATTTATTGAAAATGGAATTGTAGAATTTTCAAATAAGTCTTCAAAACATTATAAACCAAAAACCATTTCGGTGGATATGTGACGATCGCTATGATAATAAGTAATAACATAATATGGAAATCGCCCATCAATTAGCATGGCATAATAATAATTGTATACCCTAATCGCCTAACCTTACAGACTCGGCACATGCTTATTAAATCGGGATGTAATTATTTGCGTTTAAAGTGGATGATTTCTGATCGCCCAGTGGCATGTGCTCGTCAGATTTAACACGAGTAGGTTTTAAATGTGCCCCAAACTACGGCGCTTAATAATTGTATAAGTGCCAACACACAGCTGAATTCGATCATCTCACAATGTTAGTTAAATAGGGAAATGGCAAAAGTATACATTGTCGAGACATCACATAATATAGGTACGAAGATTAATTCTCAATAGCTAAGTATAGCTAGACTAGTATAATAATATGTCCAGGGAACGGGCAATTTGAATGCTATCCCATTATATACAAGGTGATATTTTTAGCCTAAAGGTTCACCTACCTAGCTAATTTTATTTTCTCGAAAAGTATTGAAATTATTGAAACAATTTTCACATGATTTTAAATTATAATGAAACAGCGTTTTTAAAAAATTAAATTTATACTATTTTTATCGTTATTTGTTTGAAGTATTTTCCTGTTTTGAATGCCAGCATACATTTTACGTAAGTACATATTAAGTTTCTCATAATATATAAAAAAAATTTTAAAAAATCCAACGAGGGGATTACGAAATCGAAAATGTTCTTACAAATAATTATAACGATCAAAAGTCAAAATATTGTTTTGTACAAATTTAAAATCATACACAAAAGAAAACTACCAAAAAAGTCAATACTTTTGGAGAGTCTGAAAATGACTGGAAAAAGAATCACATTTGCAATTTTTTTTTATCTATACTACGATCGTTAAACATATCAAAATAATCTTTCAAGAGTTCCAGTATTGTGTCTTAATTTTAATATTAGAATGAATTAATCTATTATCAAACTTAAATGAAAGAATATATTATTATCGCTGTCCTGCCGTTGGTTTTTATGATATTTACAATTTTTAATTGAGTAACAATTGCTGTTAGAAATCAGTCGAACATCGACCGGGCTCTGCTCGAGTTCCACGTTTTACGCGCACCTAACATATACCTACTCTATTACCTACCTCTATTAAATATACGATTAATTTTACTGAGATGGGCGCCGCATTGTCAATAACGCCGACCATCGTAGCACAAGACTTGAGAAGAAGAAAAAAACTCACGCACAAAGTACACGACATTATAGGTATTTATTTATTTTATTTTTTATAATCGTACTCATATAATAACCGTTCACATATTGTATTACATATATATTACATTATATTATATGTACATGGTTTACCGCAATATAAAGCAAAAAAACTTAAAAGAAATTCCGGTGTTTAGAGCATGGTGTGGCGTATGACAATAAAATAAAAATATTATAATATTACCCAATGTGTTCATTCGACGTGCTAACGAGGTGAATATTGTACTAGTGATTTAAAATGACGGAGAGAAATTGTGATTCTTATTTATCTGTTTTTGGAACGAAGTGTGTTTAAAAAAATAATAATGACGACGGTACTATGACGTGGTCTTTATATTATGTTATAGATAATCACACCGAAGCGCGTACATTGTGTACGGGGAGATTCTTTTGACCGTATAAACACTAATTAGTTATTATGTATTTACATTTTTTGAAATATATTTTTTATGTACTTTTAAGTTTTTATGAAACAATATTTTTTTATCTTTGTCATTTTTTAAGTTTCTTATTTTTTGAACAACATATATTATTAATTTCGTATTCTTAAATAGGAATGCTTAAGCAGAATATTTTTCT